AATGCAGACGAACAATGCAGACAGAGCAAAAGTGCAACAAACGACGGTTTAAATGCACGATAAAAACTCTAAGCGTACGTATTAACGCGCGCGTATATGTACGCATGCACGCACTACAAACACGCATACACACACATGCACACACATGCATACACACACACACATGCATGCATGCATGCATGCATACTTAACACGTACATGAACGCATTTTCATTTGTAGGTGTTGAGAGGTGCGCATTAAAGCCGAAAACTCTTCATAAATACCCATATATACGTATATGTGTTCATGTACGTTTTGCGTATTCTGTAATAATTATAATGAAGTTACTAAGAAAAAGTGCAGAAGTATCAATAGGTACATTTTCTGGTACTTCTGGTAAAAAAACCAAGTAACACAATACATGGCATCAGTTTATGAAGATATTCTACTATTAACATAACGTTAAAAAGGATTGCAGTGGTTAAGGGGATACATCTGTGTGAGAACCACTGGAATTATATCATAAAAAGTTGTACTAGGTATCGTAGAAATGTATTAAAAGGTATTCAGAAATACAAATGTTGTACAAAATTGTACAAGTAGTACAAGTGTACAGTACGTAAAATGTCTGAGAGTTATTTGTTTGTATGTTGGACTTTTCATGAATTATTAATGGGAACATGTAGGACATTATGCAATCATGCAACTACTACTACTGCTGCTGCTCTTACTACTACTACTACTACTACTACTACTACTACTACTACTACTACTACTACTATTACTATTACTACTACTACTGCTACTACTACTACTATTACTACTACTACTACTACTACTATTACTACTACTACTGCTACTACTACTACTATTACTACTGCTACTTCTACTACTGCTACTACTAGTTATATTATTACTACTATTGAAGTTACTTCTATAGCCACTACAACCGATAGCGATTTTGCTGCTAAAATTACTGAACTATACTACTACTAAAAAGAAGGCATAACGGCAACTATACTGCAACTGAAACAACTGCTAAGTAACATTTTAAAATCAACAAAACACACGTCACAAAACAACGACAACAACAAAAATGACATCGCGTCACGTGACAGCAGCAGCAACAACAACCACGACGACGACAACAACAACAACAACAACAAGGATGGCGACGTCTACAACAAATAAAAATGCATTAAAAGAACAAGCTCATACAAAATTCATAAGTGTACAGACCATTAATAAAGATGTACATTTAAATGTACAATCTGCGAGTCGCGTGTGTGTGTATAAGTGTGTGTGTGTGTGTGTGTGTATAAGTGTGTGTTTGTGTGTGTTTGTGTGTGTGTGTGTGTCTACGCACTTTAAAAAGTCTATTTTTACACATGAGTGACAAATAAGCATGTGTACATATCACAGGTTATAGAATGAACGAATTATCTGATGGATGCATATATGCATTTATCCATTCCTTCATCCATTCATTCATTCCTACTTCCAATCATTCCTTCACTCATTTATCAAATCATTCACTCAATCTATCACTTGTCAAGTCTCTACCAATTGCTTTGTAGGATGGACAAAGCACTTATATGCACTTATACAAACGTGCGCGCACACGCACATAAACCAACACACGCACACAAACACACACACACAAGCACATAAATACACACACACGTACACAAACACACACATACATTTACGTAACAAAATATGCAGCAATATATAAAATATAAACAGCCATTCAAGTATCGAAGCCAAATCTAAAACGACAACATCACACTATCAACAACAACATCAGTAGCATCAACAACAACATCAGCAGCAACAACAACAGCAGAAGCAGCAGTAGCAGTTGCAGCAGCAGCAACAACATCAACACACCATCGTCAACGACTTCCATTCTCCTACTTCTCCTTCCATGCTTCGAGTTGTTGTGCACAAACATGTTGTCGGAAACCGCCAACAAATTGTTGTCGACGTCAGGTGTCGTTGCTATGGCGACCTGTTGTTGTGGTTGTAGTTGTGGTTGTTGTTGTGGTTGTGGTGATTGTGGCTACAACAATATTGAAAACAACGAACAACAACAATCAACAGCAACAAACAACAGCGTCGAAAATCAACTCGTCTTCATTGGTCTTCTTTAAATCTCCAATGACATATCTCCTTTTTCATTTTCGTCATCACTACAATCACCATCGTCGTCATCGTCATTGTCCTCATCATCATTTTCGTTGATGACATTATCGTCATCATCATCATCATCATCATCACATCATCACCATCACCATTGACATAGACGTCATAATCATCATTATCATCATCATCTTTATCATCATCATCGTCGTCGTCATCATGATCATTATCATCAGTACAGTGTCATCATTTTCATCGTCATCATCATCATCATTATAATCATCATCGTCGTCATCATCATCAGCATTTTCATCATCATCGTCGTCGTCATCATCATCACCATCGTCGTCGTCATCATCACCGTGACTAGGATGAACATCACAATCATCATTACAAACGTTTATTATTTGCGTTTATTGGTATCCTCGCCTGCTTTACGATCGTCTTTATACGATTTAAAATGAAATACCGCGAGACGTAATCATAAGAAAAATGATAATAAAAACAACAACAACAATAATAATAACAACAATAATAATAGCAGTAATAAGACAGCATCACAACAACATTAAGAACGACATCAATGTATATAAACTCAAGATATAATTACTCTGGTTTTCAATGTTATAAAAGGTTTGATTGCATTTGTATACTTTCAGTTCATTCATTCATTCATTCATTCATTCATTCATTCATTCATTCATTCATTCATTCATTCATTCATTCATTCATTCATTCATTCATTCATTCATTCATTCATTCATTCATTCATTCATTCATTCATTCATTCATTCATTCATTCATTCATTCATTCATTCATTCATTCATTCATTCATTCATTCATTCATTCATTCATTCATTCATTCATTCATTCATTCATTCATTCATTCATTCATTCATTCATTCATTCATTCATTCATTCATTCATTCATTCATTCATTCATTCATTCATTCATTCATTCATTCATTCATTCATTCATTCATTCATTCATTCATTCATTCATTCATTCATTCATTCATTCATTCATTCATTCATTCATTCATTCATTCATTCATTCATTCATTCATTCATTCATTCATTCATTCATTCATTCATTCATTCATTCATTCATTCATTCACCTGGAACCTTCTCATGTCGCGTGGATTGCCGGCATTTTTCAGGCAGTTTTGATTGCATTTCATGAAAAACTTTAAGAAAAATCTGCGAATGACAAATAAAAAAAGTTATGATTTTATTAACAATAAATTTATAATTATCAATTAATCAATTAACTAATCGCTCAATCAATTACTTAAATGATAATTATTCAATATTCCCTATCCTATACAATAAACAGCTGAATAATGAATAACATAGATTGACAAATATCTGAAACGGTACTTCTGTGTCAAAAAATAATTAGAATGATAAGATAGAGAACAAGGGAGAGAGAGAGGTAGAGAAAGAAAGAGAGAGAAAAAAAGATTGAAAATGAGAAAGAGATAGAAGGAGAGAGGAAAAGAGAGATAAAGAGAAAAAATAGAGAGCATGAAGAAGCAAATCAAATTAATTTAGAATAGCGTGCGGTTCTACGTTCATTTTTTCGCGCTCCTTTTTTCGCCGGCGCGTACGAATATATTTTGATATTAGTTTGCGAGTGACCCCCGCGACCTCCTGACCTCTCTAGGTCATTTCGATGACGTCATCTTTTGACCTAGATTCAAATTTGAAGATTCGAAAAACCGAGAGCACGTTTCAGCCGTAGAAAGAAATTATAGTATTATGTAGTGTTATTTAGTATCATTTGTAGTAGTGTGTATTTCTAAGGCGTGTAATTAAAAAGATTTGTTGAAATACAGTAGTAACATTTGATGAGGTATCTTAACTTATCAGTTATAATTATTATTATTAGTTATTATTATTGTACAGAATTGTTTAGTGTTACATGGTATCGTTAATTTGTGGAATTTGAATGGCATGCGTTTGATGGGATTAGTTGAAATACAGGAATAATAACATTGCACAAAGTAACTTTACTTATCGAAATACTTTTTATATTTTTTCAATATTCAAGTGAATTTTCAGTATTCAAGTCATTTTGTTGTACTTGAGAAATTTTCTCTTAATTCATTACCTCTTAGTATTGAAGTTATTTTTGCGTTAGCATATATGTTTGATTGTTGATTGTGAAGACGACGTTGTGTTTGCTATTGAAAATGACGTCATTGTTGTTGTTGTTGTTGTTGAGGAAGAGAAGGATGACGACGACGACAACGATGTTGTTGTGGTTGGCGATGGTGTCGATTTGTTGTTTTTATTTGTTGGACCATCTGTTGAGGCTTTTAACAGTAGAGAAAACACGTGTCGTCTTTTGATGAACACGCGAATGCTAAACATCAACATCAACAACAACTACTACTACCACTATTATTACTACTGCTACTGCTACTACTAATACAATTGCTGCTGATGCTACTACTACTACTTACTACTACTACTACTACTACTACTACTACTACTACTACTACTACTACTACTACTAATGCTGCTGCTGTTACTTCTGCTTCTACTTCAACTACCAAAATACTACTACTAGTGTTGTTATACTAATAACTTCATTTCACACTTTACAACAACATACGTGCACATAAACACACGTACACACACTTACATACATATATAACATAGATACAAACAAACAAACAAACAAACAAACAAACAAACAAGATGCATATCGGATACATCTATATTATCATCTCTGCATGGCGTCGGGCTATTGTAGTTCTTTGACGCTTGCTTTTTACTTCCCATTTGCGATGTTGTTGTTGCGTCGTTTGTGTTGTTGTTGGTGCTGCGCTGTCTATTGTTGTTGTGTTGTTTAATGTTGTAGATGTTTCCATTTTTGTTGTTTTTTTTTGTTTGGTTATGTTTTAAAATTACTGAGTTGCCTATGCGTTGTTTTGTTGTTGTTGATATACTGTTAGTCAATGTTACGTACATACATACATATATATACATATACATACATACATGTATACATATATGCATACATACATACATACATACATACATACATACATACATACATACATACATACATACATACATACATACATACATACATACATACATACATACATACATACATACAACATACATACATGCATACACACATACATACATGCATACACACATACATACATACATACGGACAAAACTAATCCCAGGATCAGTGAAAACTTGATCATCTCTATATGATCATCCTCATTCTACGACATTTTTTGTTTTGTTTCTATTTTG